TAGGATTACCCAAAAATTGCTTTCTGTATCCTAAATTTAAGTCTATTTTCAAGTTGTACAATAATCACAATTTTTATTGTACAAAAATTGAATGTTTTCTGTATCCTAAATTTAAGTTGTATAAAAATCACACAAAAATTGAACATTTTCTATATCTTAAATTTAAGTTGTACAAAAATTGCATACTTTTAATATGCTTTGAAAAACTTCAAAACTATTTTTATCAAAAAATCTGCAATAATTGTACAATTTCCACACGGACTTGAACAAATATTGTACAAAAATTGGATGATTTTTTTTCATAGGGTGATAATTATATAACTTGTTAATTACCTATTATTATAAAAGGATTCTGTAAATCAAAAACTTGAAGAAAAGGGTTCTATAAAGCGAAAACTTGGAGAAGAAAAAGAAAATTTTAATTTACAATCAAAAAAGTGCAGAACTACTATTACTCTTTTTTGCATAGTTGAAGGAAATGAACACAATGCCTTTGCTATTAATATTAACAAGAACAAACCCATTAGTAAACTTAAGAGTTTAATCCAAAAAGAAAAACATAATGATTTTGCTGGCATTGATCCTGAATTCCTGATCAACTGAAGCTCTAGCAGGTTGGAATTCCAAAACAATGAACTTCTTGGAACAAAGAAAATAAGCAAGTATTTTACTAAAGCTCCTGTTGATGAATATATTCATATTATTGTATCTTTACCAGAAACTACTAAAACTAGGCAAGAGTTGATAAATAAAGTAGCAGAATTGCAGAAATTACTTAAAAGGTCTATATATGGACAATATGGTATGTTCCATGTGATAGTGAGGTAACTGTATGATGATTAGTGAGTTAATAGTTCAACACTGATTTATATTTTATGATTGTAGAATTTAATATCATAGTTAATCCAAAACGTACAAAGGCATCCAAGTGGATTGCAAATATAGAACAAGTGACTCTTAAAGACCTTAAAGAATTTATATTTGCTTCATATCAATCTCCAGAACTTGAGTAAGATGTTGCAGCACTTACCTTTTCATGCAATGATGAAAAAAATTCTCCTAAAAGTGACCTAGAGTTTCAAAATATGCTTCAATTATTTGTATCAAGAAATAGCCTCAAATTTACTGTATTTATAGAAACATCATTATCCTTTCCTCTTGGACCTTCCCAAAAGTATGTAAACTATATAAACTTAGTGAAGATAGTGATCCAACATTATCTGTATTTCCTCTTCTTACTTGTGGATGTGTAGAATTAAATGATGAAAAGTCACAAGTAATAATCAAACATCTTATAACTGAATTGAATTTCTGTTTCAGAACTATTCCTATTGGAAATGAAGCATCAAAAAGTCAATATGTTTGTTCATACCTTGTAGCTATTGCCAACCTTTATGAAGATAAATTTAAGGTTTATCCAGAAAAAAATGTCTCAGGTCTGAATGGTCATGGGCCTGTAGATTTTACTTTAATTCAAATTCAAAATTCTAGAATAATTGGCATTACTGAAGTTAAAGATAAAGATTTTTAACAAGGTGTTGCTCAGAATGCAGTTCAATGTGAATCAGCTTTATCAAATAAGAGAAAAAATTATAACTGATTCTGAGAAATGGTTTTTTTTGGAGTGTTCATCAGATAATGATAGAAAACCTAAGTTTGAATTATCAAAATTAATGGTCATTATATATGGAGATGAAGATATGGAAGATCGGGTAAAAAAAGTTCTTGGTCATATTGCATGGTTGATTAGAACTAACAATATATTTATTTAATAGTTAAGGTATAATGTATACATCAAAAGAATTTAGTTTCATAATATTGTATAATTATTAAGTTTATATATGTATTATTAGTTTATATGTATATAATATAATTAAAGAAGAACTAAATTTAATCACTTCATTATCTTATCCATGTTATTGAATACACTCAAATTTATCTTTACCAATTTGTTTTACACATATCTTTAAGTTTCACAAATGTTGGCATACAATAAATTTATAATTAACACACACACTATGCATCATAAATATCATGAAAAATTTTCAAAGTTAATCATTCCTAAAAATGGCTGGATTTCAGATAGTATTTAATTTCAAAGCATAACAGTATTAAAATCTATATAAAAAGTAATATGTCAACACATATTCAAAACTCATGCATATTAAAATTTATGCAAAAAAAATTTCAGAATTATAATACAAAACGATTTAGAAAGCATATTTTTTGTGTTGTATCCTTGAAGCTTTAATCCGCGTCTTTTGAAATATTGTGTAATACAGAGTAAACATATTTCACGTGATCACCTTGCGTAATGTTGAATCCATACTTCGCTCATATAATAACTTGGGTCTACTTTAACATAAATCTCTCTAGAACTAAAAGAAATGTTTTAGTTTATATACAAATGTATAGTTTTTTTGTTTTCAAAACGAGTTTTTTTTGTAAGTACTTAATTTATTTAAACTTTCGTAAGCTTAATCAGCAAGTTTTTACGAAATAGCTTGCTTTGTTTTAAATAACTTTATTGTTCGAACGAATTTTCACTATATCAAGTCAAACTTGTTTTTCAAAAAAACTTGCTTCCAAGGATAATAATGTTGATTCAAACTTTACCACCTGAAAACCCCATTAAAACTAAGGTATCCAAAAAAAAAATCTTGTTCCCATAATAATTCTGATACTAAAAAGAAAATCTATAAGACCATCCGACGAACCTATAAAATCATGGAAAAAACAAGATAATCAATGTACTTAACATTTGTATCAAGAGTACAAATCAATCAATAGAAATAAGCAAAGGTATGTAATATAGTTATATAGAGTTACGATCTGAGGATCATCTGTCATCCGATCTGGTCAGATGACGGATCATCTGACGGATCATCTGTTTCAGCCGTCAGATTAACTAAAAACTTTTTTTTTTAGGTTTATTTTTTTATATGTAGTTTTTGTGTTTGCAAATCACTGACATGTTAATCGTATGAAACTATGAGTTCAAATTATTGTTCCACGAATCTAATGATTGATTTTATCTCATAATCTCGCACTGCAATTGATTTATTAAATGAATGGCAGTATCAAAATTCTTGGAGGATATAACAGATAATCCAACTGAATGCCTACAAAAATAATTTTAATAATTATTATTAAGTTCAGTTATAAATGTATAGATAATCTTGTTTGAGTTTATAAAATATTATTATTAAAACTGAACTTTTAATATATATTTTTATTTTATATATTCGTTCTTTTTTCGTCTAATTTTATTACTTCAAATTTTCTTAAATTTTTATTCAATTCCTAACAAGATTGATTTAAATATATTAATTTTCACATTTTTATTTCTTTTCTTTTCTTTTCCCTTAAATAATATGTTTGTAAATAAAATTATAAAATTGGTTAATATTATTAAAGATGCAAATAAATAATAAACTATGATATTCTGACCCATCATTACAATTTTTTTTCTTTGTTCCTTTTTATTGATTTTTCATTAGTAATGTTACAATTCTTTTTAAATTTTTTTTAATCGATCTTGGTTTTTGACTTAAATGTATAAAAATACATCTTATATTTTATAAGGATTTCAATTCTTATCAAATAATTTATCACATGATTAAAATCGTCATATATTTTCGTGTTACAATATTGTCCGAATAATAATATTTAAAAAAAATGACATGTTGTAAAGAAAAAGATTAATGAGAAAAAATAAAAATAAAATAGTAAAAATAAGAAATAAATTATATAAATAGAATTAATATAATTATCATATGACGCAATGTACTTACTTTTTATAAGTTATAATAATTAATTTAAAAAAGTAAATTCATTTATATTTATTTATTTGTTTATTTATTTATTTTTTTTACACAAAAGATTAAAGAAAAAGGTGTAGCACAATCTTAATCTCATTAGCATCAAAACTCTAGTGATCGGCTTATCGGAAAAATTTTTGCCGAAATACGCAATCTGTACTTAATGTGCAAAATCCTTAAAAATAAATTCATTTCTCACAACTTCCAAATAAATCTCTTATTCACTTATGCCCTCTGAAATTGATTCTCTTCCAGTTGAAAACTGGGATATTGATACCCTTATTATTTTTTTACGAGGACAGGACCTAAAATTCGATGATGATGACTTTGAAATTCTTCGCAGAGAAAAAATAACCGGGTTTGATTTCACTAATATGACTAAAGAAGAATTTGAACGTTGTGGTTTGAAAATTGGTCCATCAAAAAGATTAGTGAAAGTAGCTGAGATATTAAAAGACCCTTCGAAGTGTTCGTTCTCATACCGTAGTTTGAAACAAGTTTTAAAAGAATACAACAGTAGTAAAATTTTGCCAGGTATCTTACTTGTAACCGCAGTCTTTTCTATCAATTTATAGGACTTAAAAATTAAATTTAGTTTCGCTCTTTAAGGAACTTATCCACTTACGGACGAAGATGAGGAGGAATACACCAATAACAAATCTTTACCGGGTATTTCAATACTATATATTCTAATAGTTATATACGATTTATAAACTAACTTTAGTTCCTCTCCCTAAGGAACTTATCCACTTAAGGATGACGATGAGAAATTACCACAAAGTGTAGGGAAGATAAAACTACTCAAGAGCGAACAAGAAAGCACAAACGATAAAATTTCTATATTGCCTCCATTATTTAAAAAATCCATAGGTACGCAAACTACAAACTTTTCTGCAGATCAAAAGAGCTTAACCTACCTTATCCAGGGCTTAATATCTAGGAGTCTTTCACATTTTCCTCTTAATGAGTGGGTCTTCATTAATAATACAACGAAGGGTGTATGCAGAATTAGTAGTGTGGAACCACGACTGTCAAGTGTGTCACTGTATTGTGAGTATGAGCTCGGAAAAGTCTACACCCATCATTATTCGCCAGCATTTTCGGGATATCCTATAGCTCTCAAGAGTCCATTTTCTCCGTCTGAAAGGATTATTACGGGACTCGATGAGAGCAAGACAAAGTTTATTGATAACATTAATTATGTTATTGAGTTCACGGAAATGCTTGACTTTGTAGAGCCCGTCAAATCCAGCAGTAACATTTCTAGTTCTTCTACGGCAGTTTCGTCAACAAAAACGATTGCGACACAAACAAGACCTTATGTTGAGGATACCAAAGAATTAACGTATATTGCGAAAGGTATAATGTTCAAGAGCATTTGTTGGTTCACCTGGGATGAACAAGAGGCATTCCGCCTTGGAAAAAAGAAGGGCATTCTGCGACTTGTCAGTTCTGACCCTAAACTAGCAGGCGTAACACTGACATGCAATTATCAGCTTTCAAAATTTTTATGCAGTTTTCAAGGTGATATTGGTTATCCAATGATCGTGTGTTGTTCATATGGAAGTGTTAAGACTCTGCTCACAGAGGATAAGGAGAAGATTATGGATAATCATAATTATAATTTGACGTTTATTTCGTAAAAATCTTTTTGATGACTTTGGAAGAATATTCAGATATTAGTTTGATTTTTCACAAGTTCGGGATTACCATACAGTATTTTGTTAAAAACCAATCGATTTCAAATATACTGTATTGGTTTAAGAGTCTAATGTATTATAAATTTCCTTAACGTGTTAAATTTGTATATATTAGTTACATTAAAATAATATTAATTTATTGGTCCATATAATTTATAGTATTCTATCTTTATTATGTATTTTAACTTCGTTTTTTCGTTCTGAAATTTTTTTTTCAATAAATTATTATAATTTTGTATTTATGAGTTGTGGCCTATGGGGTATCCATAGCATGTACGTGATATATATATATATATATATATATATATAATTATAATTTTGGAATGGTTACTTTTATTTTTGACGTAATAACACCTATACAGCATAGAATGCAATAAAATAATAGATTGAAACGTGGTCAAAACTTTACTTTAGATTAAATGCAATTAACATCGTGATTCAATCAATAATTGGTCACAAAACGTTGGATTAAATTCAATCTAATTTTTGATTGATAATTTTGATTGATCATTAACCAAATACTTTACAGCATATACTTACTGTATATACTTCATATAATTTTCATTGATACATACAGTATTTATATCGTGATTAGTGTGTAAAGTTCTTGGAAAATAAAGAATCAATAAATTTGAATAACTGCATGATTTTATTCGCTTTTTATAATTAACTTTATTGCTTGCTTCAGTAGGGTGTGCTGGACATGATTAGATCGTCTTGAAAATACCATTAGTATAAATATTTTTTTTTGCATATTGTTTTTTATTTTCTTTTATGTTTATTTCTCATTATTTTACAACATTATTGTAATATATTTACTGCTGTACACAATAGATGTAAAGGATAAAATTGAAAAATGGTTTAAATTACAAAAATGAATGCAGTTTACTCAATTTTTATCATTTAAAATGTAACATAAACTTGAATGTTAAAACTATATTTGACACTAACAGTACTAAATTAATTTCTGTATTAATTTATAATTGATGAATTCCATAGGCTTCCAAGCTATTTAACATTACAGCAACATCAAAAATTAAACGATATCGTTAGGATGATCTTAACGGTCTCATTTTAATATCGTAACAATTACCAAAATGTCATCAAAATGATACCAATTTGTATGATATTGTTGCTATATTATTTTGATCTCATTTTGATTTCTCATAATAAATATTAAAATGATGTCGTTATTTTGATGTTATTTTAATATCGTAATGGCAATGGTTATCAAAATGCAATCAATAAATATTATTTTGTTATCGTTCAGCCCAATAGGAACATGCAGATTTTCATAGACATATCTACGTGACCATTTTCATCCAATCATTTAGTAGTCCTGTCCAATAAATATATTGTCTATGATTATAACTGAAGAGTGAAGATTTCGGTTAAGTTAATAAAAACTGATTTGTGATAAAACGTAAAGATCACAAACAAATGCGTGTGATGACTAAAACTTTCGAATTTTTCTCTCGTTTAATTGTTTGGGCTCATTCAGTTTAATTTACGGTTGGAATTGGAATTGTAGCAGCTTTAGAACGAACGCGGGAACACATAATACATATATTTTTTCTGTATAATTATATTTCACTGATGTTATTCAATAAGGAAAATAAGAAATACGTTTTCGATCTAAGAATACTATATATCAGTTCATCATACTCGAGAGACTATAGCTATCTATATATGCAAGGACTTATTTGTCCATATGCTCTAAAATTAAATCAAATTAATGAAGTGGTTAAGAGAAATCAAAGAAGTATTCTTCCCTGAGTAAACGGATGCGTAAAATTACAAAATTATTTTCTTGCATAACATAATTTATTTTAAAGTTTTAAATAATTCAAATAATATAAAACCCGTGTAATAAATTTTTATTTGTTTAATGTCGCAATAAATGATATGATACGAAAAATTTTCTATGCATGTTAAAAGCGTTTTGATTTGTGCTAATAAAAAATTGGTTATAAATTAAACTAAACATTAAGCTATAAAAAAAAATAAAGCTTTAATAGCAGGTAAACTTATATGCAGTGTTGAATTTGATTGAATATACTTATTAAATAGTAATAAAAACAGCGTTTTCACAAGTTTCACAAGAGTGAGCGCTATAAATCACAAAAAATATATATGGTATATAGAAATTGTTAATTTCTCTCGCATTTTTAACTCTGCCCGGAATTTCGACCTAATGAGTTTATTAAGTGTGGGGCGCAGTATTATATTTAGTTTAGATACTTAGAATTTAATTTCTATTTTGTTTACTGCGTCCGCAAAGACGTAAAAACTATTGATTTTGAAAATTAGAAGTTGTTAGAAGGAAATTGTATTAAGGTCATTATTTTATTATTTAAGATGATTCGACTGAGTCGTCATAGTAGTGTTTCGATCCGGGCAGAAACTGTCATCCGGATAAATTAAAAAAAATATCCGGTTTCTATCCGGATTATCCGACTCAGATAAAAATCCGGATATATCCGGGTAGAAACCGAAATCCGGATAGAATTATTTAAATTTTTTTTACTGTAGATCATTTTTAATAAATAAAATTCGTGGCATTCATTTAATTTAATGTGGCATTTAATTAATTAAATATATGGCATTTAATTAACTACTAAATTCGTGGCATTTATTAAATTTATGACAATTAAATTTCGTGGGATTGATATAAAAATTTATTTATAGCATTTATTTTTTTATTTATAAATTTAAGTACAGTTAGTTAATGTAGTCCTAAGCCCTAACCAAAATAAATAAATACTGTAATCATTTTCTTGGATTTTTTTGTAATTTCACTTGAAACATATTTTTGAATAGTGGAAAATAATTCATAAAATTATGGAAA